GGGGGCAGGGGGAGCGATTTTTTTCCATCTCTGGTTGTAATGTCGACTGACAAAATTATACTGATGAGTATTGACATTCTCGTAACGTACATGTCCTAGGAAAAATTACACATTCGAACCAGCTCTATGAATGAAGCAGGACATTGTCTCTTCATCATTACGTATATCGTACTGCAAATGTTGTTAAACAAAAAAAAGTCTTTGGAAGCGGTTTCAAGTTTCAATCGGGTTGGAAAGGTAAACCAGCACCGTTCTGCTGGAGACACTAGTAAGGTTCGTACCTGAGGATAGGTGTTAAAAAATTTTCAAGTCAATGAACGAGTTTTTAATGAGGCGACGAGAACTTTTGGAGACCCGACAGTGCCAAAAATTTTACGTACAAAAAAGCGCTTCTTCATTGTCAATCCGCAAAAGAAAACTTTAATTTTCCAACATTCGAGAACGAAGTGCCCCCGCTATTAGTGTGTCTGGATCCACGATTAGATAGAGTTCATTTCTTCGTTGTTCATTTTGTGTGACTATTCTGATTCTCATGGAAGAACAAAATATCAATCTTTGAGGGCAAGGTGTACTTTCGATTGGCGAAAAAAATTCTTAGTGCATTTTATACTCTGTATCATCCGATGGAGTATTGAAAGCTAGAAGGTTATTTTTCATTTTCTACATTTTCTGGAGCTTACAACAATAATCCTATTGCAATTAAAGATGCTGGTTGGGTACTCATGCGTACAAACATTACCATGACTCAATTGACCTTAGACATATATGTAATGCAGTGTCTGACATGGATGAAAGTTTTTTCACCCGATTCGACCCGAGGTCAACTATTTTATTTTGTGGCCGAAGTCAGACTGATGTCAACCACTTTTCTTGTTCTCTGCAGAAAGTCAGCTCCCCGATCCCCCTTTTTCTCTCTTCATTTCACAGCTGGAAACAATGAATTTGCTCTCCACCTCTTTCGTCCCTGACATTTTGCCTATATTCCCCAGTTGGAGCAATACGATTATGTGATTGAATGTTTTCTTGTTTGTCTTTCATGGCTTAGGCAAGGGAGAAACAGCGGACTTCAAGACTTCTCGAGACTTCAAGAGACTTCAGCAACAGAGACTTTCTCGTCAATGACGAGAAGAGGCTTGCCATTGTTACTGTTCACGAAAGAGCAAGTAGGGTGGGCGATGGTTATCGTAGGAACAAATTAGAAGATGCAGTTGTATGTCGTCAGAACAAGACCCAAACACACGAATGATGAGAAGTGGAATGAGGAGAAAGGATCCGTGGTATAATTGCGCCACTCGCAGAGCAGAAAGAGCAAAGATAGTGTTCGATGAACGCCAGAGAAGAGGAAGTCTGGACCACGAAAGACCATGTTATTCTTTGTCCTTCGCTATGAGAGCTATCGGACTGTTTTATTACTTCGAGATTTTTCCCGATTGTTTCGTTTCCTGATTTTATTTGTCTAAGATTTTCATTTTCCAGATTTCTTCACGAAGTTGAGATCTACATTGGAAAATTGCTAACTCATGAAATCGAGATCGATTTCCTGGAATATAACAACTGTTATTAGTAGATCTTTGCATGGACGGCGAATTTCATTTCGAGAATCATGCGATATTTGGACAAGCGGTCCTCAATCATCTGCAAAGTTGATAAAACAATCATAAACTAGTTCCAAAAATTCAAGCGTGCCAATCCTAGGTGAGCTGAATTTCTTGTGATCTTCGGAATTCTGAGAAAAATAAAGGCTCAATCTCGCATTTCTGATTGTTTTATCTAAGAAGGCCATATATTTGAGTAAAATCGATTTTAGGAGAGCAACTGGAAGAAGTCCTTGATGAATAATTTTGAAACAAAACTATTGTTCGTGTCAACGCTCTCTGGAATGCCCCTGGTTCAATATATAAGCGACCATTGATCGATGCAATGTCGACGATTCACCCTTTCTCGTTCTTCTCACTCGAACAATACCTCATATTGTCATGTGGGGTAGCAGTGGTTATCAAACCACCGAGGACATTGTCAAACTGACGGTTCTTCGTCAATAAATGCAATAAGTATTCTCTACTTTAGAATAACCTTTTTCTTTGAATAGAATCGAAAATTAAAGATGTGACAAAAAAGAAGTTCAAATCGAAGATCGAACAAAAAAATATAGAAAAAAAGTAACCATGACAAAAAATGTCCAAGCTGCAGAAATAAAATAACATTATTTTCACGCACATATTTTCTGAATTTTATAAGAGACTCCATAGAAGTAATGTCCATCGACAGAAAATTTCTTGAAACAAGCATGAAAGCAACGACAATGTTGTTCAACACCAGCCAACGAACGACGATGATCACCCACACAGATTGAAAATAGATCCGGACGAAAAATAACTATCTCATCATGCAAAATCAATCAACGACGACGTTTGTGTTCTGCCATGGAGCTTCATTAAAACACAAGTACGAAATCTAAAGAAAATTGTATACAATATGTTACAAAGACAAACAAAGCCGTCATATGCAAAGAATCGTCACAATTCCGCTCTGCCTAATGTCATCAACCACCGTCAGTATGTCCTGTCGATCGGAAAGTGACGGCGCTAGTTCTTCGATCACTGTTGGCGGTGAATAAAGGAAACCATCTACTAGAGTCGAGAAAAAATGACCAATATACTTTACTTCTAGTATGACACATTAAGTAGTATCACATATTCCGAATTTTGGTGATACCGCCGCATCTCTTGCGGTAAATGCCACATCTCATTCAGGCGATGAGGTCATCTCTCGATGGAAATGCATCCACGTGCAGAGAGATGCCCATCCCCCGTACGAGATACCGCGTCTTCCGCGAGAGATACGGCATCTCCAAAATTCAGGATATGTGACACTGCTGGATACGCTCGATCGACCAGTGACAGGTTGCTTAGGGGCGACTAATGACTGTTCATAGTGAGCAAAAGGTATACGATTCGTGTTGTTAAGTTTTAATGACTTTTAGATAGAGTAAATCATACGATTTAAGAAAATGCCACTGAAAATTATCGGTGCCGGTTTTGGTCGTACAGGGACTGACAGTACAAAAACGGCTCTGAATCAACTCGGCTTCAAATGTTATCATATGTTCGAAGTGTTCAAAACGAGTCGCACATCAACTCGACTGTGGATTGGCGCTGTTGACGATCCATCTTCCGCTGACTGGGAACGAATTTTCAACGGTTACAATGCAACAGTTGACTGGCCAGCCGCTCATTTCTGGAGAACATTGATCGACTATTATCCGGATGCTAAAGTTATCCTGAATGTTCGCGATGCCGAAAAATGGTACGAAAGTATGCACAATACAATATACGCAATGAACAAGAGTTTTGTCTTACGAGCGGCATTATTGTGCTTTCCGAGCATGTGGGCCGCTCGCGAAATGACAAATAAGATTGTGTGGACTGGCTCGTTTGACAATCGATTCGCCGATAAATCGTATGCAATCGAAAAGTTCAACAAACACAACGATGAGGTAAAACGTGTCGTATCGAAAGATCGATTACTGTTGTTTGATGTCAAACAAGGATGGGAACCGTTGTGTACATTTCTCAATCTTCCCGTTCCCGACACACCATTTCCGCATATGAATGACGCAAACAGCATGAAAAAGAGATTTGCAACTATAAAGATGGCAACTTATGGTTTATTTGCCTTTCTAATGGTAATTATAGCGGCTGTATTGTACTATTTTCTTAATTGAACAATCCACAAATACTGTGACTGATTGCATACTTAAACAAGACTAGACATTGACACCTGCTAACTTTGTCATGTTCTACAGCTAATAGATTCCCACGTAACTTGATTTCAGACTAATGAACTATTACTAGGCTGTGGGTGTGAGTGTTGAAAAATTGAACACATACACCCCATACCCCACGCCTAAGATCGTGAAGATATGTAAAGACGGTAAGTAATCATTTTTGAAAGATTTTTGCCGTTTACATCTTCTATCCACTATAATCCTAGATGTTTTCCGATTGCCTCTATTTTTAAGTATGAACGGTAGAAAACGGCCGTTCTTACTCGTCACGAATATGCTTTATGAATAGCACTTGAAAATATACTCTGAATCAATAGTAAGATTCAATAATATATCTTGAGCGAAAATCAGCTACTGCTGAGCACGCTGAAGATGACCGAATTGTGTTTTATTTTGCTAAATACACCTCTTCGATAGTGCACAAACTGGTGTTCCTTAAATTCTGCATCGTCCTCTACCCTTAACATCTTTTGATCGAAATCGACTCTTAGTAGTCAGACTAAACGAACTCAGACTAATACAAAAATATGTTGAGACCATTGAAATCACAGCTATCTGCTAGTATTATGAAATTTATGTACGTGAATTCAGTTATATTTAATACGAATAACTTTGCAAATGTAGAAGAAGATATTAATGAGAACAAGATAGTATGAAGACTCCCAGAAGAGATAACACTTGTGTACATAGATATTGAATGAAAACAACCAGGAAAATCACTAACCCACACGATAGAATAAGATGCATTCATTAGATAATCACCTACATGAAATTAAGAAAAAACAACAAATGAACAAAATAGTATAACTCGTAAGGTTACCGACAATATAAGATGAATTTAAACATACGGGATAAGTCTGAACACTATTCATTTATTATTAATTGGAAACTAATCTCTAAAATCATTGAAGTATGGTTCGCCTTTTGTTTTTAAGTATCTGTATGCATTCAGATCCTGTGAGATCCATTCAAAACTTCATTGAGTCAATAATACAATACCGATTCCTAAATTTTAACTGTCACATTGACGAATTATCTGGATAATATTAAAAATAAAAAACATTTCCTCAAATGTAGGTTCCATGAGAACAGCTTGAATAAAAGACATCTGGAGAATATCGGAATATGAACCAGGACGCTCTTCAGGTTCTGTTTGCAATCTGTTAATCATATTAAGCTATTGTAATTATAATGATATTTCAAGTAAAATTACTCACAGTTGTAAAATGAGTGCTCGGACATCGTCAGGTATTATACTTTCGAGAATGTCACGATTCCATTCTGTAAGTATCAAGAACCGTTCAATGCCATTTGAAAGAGGACACGGGTGTTGACCAAGGATTGTTTCAACCACACTAATTCCCAAGGCCCACATATCACCTTGAATGGAGCTTGGCGCTGGTGGATTCCGTACAAGTTCAGGTGGAAAATAGGCAATAGTGCCTATAGGATCTGTTTGCGCCAAATTCATATCGCAACAAGTGCCATAATCATTTAGTTTAAACACGCCACGATCGTTGACAAGTATATTCTCTGGTTTGATATCTCGATGAAGATACTGTTTCTCAGCCAAAAAATGAAGTGCCGAAGCAATCTGTGTAAGAGATAGAATGAGTGAATAGAAATTAACCAAAGTACTCTTTACATTGTGGATCACACGACGCACAAGAAAATCAAGATTGTTCGGATCAATGTTTCCTAGTTGATGCATAGTTTGATAGAATCTTCTCAGTGTTGTATCCATCAACTCCATACAAATGCACAGTTCACTATAGACCTTCAAAAAGAACATGATAATACAAAATTCACATGAATCTTTACTTACTGTATCAATCATTGCACCATAGTATTCGATAAGATATGGACAATCACCGGTGCCAACTTGTTGCATCATTTTCAGTTCAGTAATTGTTACAGAGGCTCGTTCTTCTTTTGTTGAAAGTGAAATACGCTAAAAAATGCATATATTTCGTTATGCAGCGTTCATCTAATCGCCAAAAGGTAGATGTTCCTCCTGAAAATTTTCCTATTTAGATACACCATAATGTTATTGGATTAATTTTAACTATTCTTTTTCTCGATATTGGTTATGAGTAAAACATTATGCTTCTTATTGAGAGGATAAACTTTTGACTTCGAGTGACGGAAATCCAAACAAGCTCCTGAACATTTGCATAATGTATAAACGGGCTACTTCTCATTTGCGAACTAGGGTGTGGATGTGGGTGTGGGATGAATTCAGAATACGACGCACACCCACGCCCATACCCTAAAAGATTTGAATAAAGATTTACTTTATTTTAACTAAGTTTGCTGCAAATTGTAGAGGACGTTAGGTATTTGTTGAATGAAAGTTTTCGTTTGGATTTAACTATGAAGAATTTTAATGAAAGTTAAAATTGGAATGGACTAGCTGATTTGTTTTTCTCTTGTTATTGATAAACTAATACTCATAATGCACGAGCAAGGGTCGTCGATATGGATCTAACTAAGAACGATTTTAATAAAAAACTAAGCTTTATTTGATGTTTGCTTCCATTTTATAATGACAAATAGATGGTGTTTTCATATTTAAAAACAGCTGATAACATTCATAGTAACAATTATGTTTGGCGAACTCTATACATTGCAGTTAATTAAAAGAAAAAAAAAGCACTACTATAGTTTAGCGCACTCTACGAATTTCAGTCCATTACCTTGGAATAGTGGAAATCAGCATATAGGAAAATCTATAAATTGTAGCCAGTTGAAAAATATAACTGAAACAATAATTTATATTAAAATTATTATCAGTAATTTCCCTAACAAATTGAAAAACTAAAATTTGAGACTTGAGACCATTTTCAAATTGAATAAATTACATTTAAAAAAAAACTGAAGTTGAATTTAACTGATTTTGAACTTTTCGTTCGTGTTCAGAAAATAGAAGACACGTGTACAAACAACATTCAATGGCACTTGGCCAATCAAAATATTTCTTCGCGCAAGTTACGTACTTTGACTGCCAGAAGAAAATCAGGATCTTTCTTAATTCTAACGCGCGCCACCGAACCAAAGTGTCCCTCACCGAGGGATTCAATGAATTCTAAATCTTCTGCGGTGGCTTCAGTTGTTTGATTTTTATATTTGAGCTCAGCTGGATTTTTCAATGATTCGAAACTGAAAAACAGAATTAATAGAAAGTAAGTAAATCAATCAAGATGTTTTACCTGTTTGTGATTGGTTTATTTTCTTCTACTTTCTCAATAAAAAAACTTTTGAGCTTGCTTTCTAAAATTGGATAACACATACAACATTTAAAATGTATTGTAAAGCATGAATCCAATAATTGATACTTGTCAAATATTCGGTGATACATTATGACAGATTATTCTGATAGGATAAATCATAAGTAGATATATTGATGTAGGATATAGTTATAAAAATATAAACTGCGGTGAAACGTCAGAGTTCTTTCTTTCTAGTTGTTATAGTGTAAATCAGCTGTACATGGTATTTTCCCTTTATTTCCTTCCTTCTATCGTACATACATGGCACTACGATATACATGTATATCTTTTTTTCTTTCGTTTCCTTCTTTTGATGTAGTTAATGTATTTTGTCATCTAGTTAATGTTTTGTTCCAACTACTTTTGGACTTTTCAACTTCGTTAGTATACATAATGATTATTGTGGAAAAATGAACAAGAGTAGAAAAATAAATTATTATCGATTAGTTCGATCGAAACTACCCGCTAAGAGTAGTTCATCACTTGTGAACAATATTTTCATGCTGTAATTTATAGGAAAGGATTTACTGAATAAGACTATTGACCCTTGATTGACTACGGAGTATAACATAAATCGGAGTCAAACTATCAGTCATACCGTTAGCTTTAATATCTGAAAAACTGAAGGCATAATTTTCGTGAATCCTTTTATTTAAGCATCACATGATCGATAGTTAAGAATTTCACGTATGACAGATTCTTACTTCGACTGTCAGTCAAGACTTTGATCGACACCTTCTCTGATTGCGTCTTCGTGTCAGAAGTAAACAGTTGAGTGGTATGAGGAACGCCGATATAATCTACGGTCAATGGACCTAAAACAGATTAGATTCATTCACTCGAATATTCATACAAGAGTATTTCTTCGAAACTTACTGAATTCAATAGTTTGAGAACTTTCAAAATCGCTAGACGACGTTGTCGCACAGAGTAATGCAGGCTCTGTGCACACATTTCCGTCATTATTATCCGATCGATCTATAATTTGTATTTCATTAGCTAAAATCAGCAATATAGATATGCATGTTTTTTCTTTACAGTCAGCTCTTGAATCGAGAACTTTTATTTAACACTTACATAAAATGGCCGATTGAAAATCCACTTTTTCTTCGGTTGATGTGTTATTCTGGTCCGACTGCTCAGTAGTTTGATTTTCTTCACTGTACTTTTCAGCATCCGCATCGACGGAAAACTGGTCCTCTTGGGGATAGGCTTCATTACTCATTATGTTTGTGTAGTATTAATCTAAAAAAGACACTTCGCTAAACAGTGAAGCATCAGCTATTTAAACTAGAATCATGCCCGCATTGTTTCCATTCAGGTGGATATCACTCAGGTGAAAATCAAATTAAATTATTATCAAGTTCTTATTTGCTCGATTGAAAGAAATCTGCAAAGTTCTGTAATCCATGGTACCTCTTGAGAGGGATATCTAAAGGTCGCCGGTATTATGAAGAGAAGCAATCGATGACTGTGAAGCGGTTTGAAAGACTTTTGCTGCAGATGCCTATAAAGTACTGAGAATGGATAAAATAATTTGAGCTTTTTGTTTTTGGAATCAGTTCACATAAAAGCGAAAACACTGCTTAAACTCTATTATGAAAAAAAAACAATATTTTTTTCAGTTGTACAGAATCCATCAAAATTATACTACTGGCGACATCCCTTAATATTCATGAAGAAATTAAATGATTTATTTAAGTCGTTGACTGTCATGTCGATCACATAGATTGCATTATTGTTTCAGAAAGCATATGTCAACAATTAAGTCTTTAATAGTAAATTATGACCAATCTAACTAGACACAATCTATAACATAAATGTACTTGATATATGAAGCATGATTTCTACTAACGAAGCGAAGTGTTTCTTAAAAGCTTAACAAAATTCATCAGTAAAACTTTCTTCATTTGTATCGTAAATAATACAACGCTTCTCTTTGAAAAGGCAACATGAATAAATACTTTACCGATTATTTGACAAAGTAGTGTCACATAATACATCGTCAATGGATAAGAAAAATAACACATTTTTTACATGCGTAGACGTATATCTCATAAAAATGATTGTGCAATTACTTTTTTTTCTTCTTCCTTGCAGCGTTGGAATGAAAGAAAGCAAAAACAATGATTGGTCAATAGTCAAGGAATCCTTTAGCAGAAAATAAAAAGCAAATATGAAAGTTAAAAAAATCATATGAATACACTTCGTTTGAAACGAGAAACGTAATAAACAGTCAAAGCATGTTGTTTCATCAGGATGTTTTTGTCGTTCTGCGCACAAATACAATTTTCTAAAGGAAGCTTGAATTGTATTAACCCTACATAAAAAAAAACAGCAAGAAAGAGCACGTGAAGGTATTCGTTTTTCTGCACTTGTTGACAACAAAACGATAATATCGACTGATACTCATTATTTCATTCATTTTGTTTTTTCTTGCCTCACATTTTTTTTCTCATACATCGTTACCTGTTCGCAACAACTTCTTTGAATGTGATTGTGCTTGTTATTTTGCATAGGCATGGTAGTCTGCTTTTTCTGTCTAACAGTCACAGATTTGATAAAATTCACTTGTATTCAAGTTTCATGATCTATTGATAATCAGATATAATATTAAAAAATGAATCTTATGAGGAAACGGATTATAATTACATAAAAAAAAGACTTCCAAGTTCGCTCTCAGTGTATATGAAAAGCTATTATCTCCAGTAAATCATTATAATTGACGTATTCTGTCGCCAAAGGATTGATTTGTTGAATACCGATATTCGACTCATTTAATCAAAATCACTTACGAAAAATGAAGTCCATGATAGCGAGTGTCCCAAAAAGCATCTTCCTATCATTATTTTACATTTTTTTGGACTCGTAATCGAGCTCATTTTTTTTTAATGAAAAGATTCCTCGTGGAATTCTCTACAACAATATACTAAACATTTTTTTTCACAGTGTAGGAATAGAAAATTGCATAAGATATTCTGAAAGCCCTATAAGCCTGAAAAATGTAAAGGTTTTTCACAAGATTTTCACATTTTATGAAATGACTAGAATAATACGAAAACATGTCTGGGCAAATTTTCTGGTAGAACTGAGTGTAATCTTCCTCTCATTATGCATAGTAGAGCTTATTGCAATTAGATATTCCAACCCAAAATGTATGATCTTGAAACTGAATAAAAAAATCTAACATTTGACTTATTTGACTTTTTTTCATTAGAATACACAAATATATATTCAAATTTTAGGTTTAAGTGTAAAGTACCAGCCGTTCCTCTTTAAAGTCAATCAAAATAAATCTTCAAAGATTAATTTTTAGTTAGTTTACGCAAATCTACGTGATCTCTTGGAACATTAGAACGAAAGAAATGATTCTTTCCAAAATCAGACGCTTCTTGCGCAACATAATTTCATGTGAACTCTTTCTGAACATTGCAGAAAGATAGATTTTCTGTGGGTTATAAACTGCTTATTAATTTTTCGCGTGCCCTATATACGCATCAAATGAAACGAATAACTTTGAAAAATCCCCTACATTTTTTTGGCTTTATAAGGCTTTCAGAATATTTCATGCAATTTTGTATTCCTACACTGAAAAAAAAACGTTTAATATATTGTTATACAG